CATACACACACACACACACACACACACACACACACACACACGCGCGCCGCGCGCGCGCGCACACACATTTTTCTCAGCTCAAAGCGCGTGTATACTTGATTATGTGTGAGCCGTACAAGACCGTATAACTTGGTGTCATAATCACGTTGCGATCCGTAGGTTAACACAATTTCATAAATAGACCTTGTTCTTCTGTTCGTGTTAGGTCTGTAGCTGACATTGACGATCATGTTACCCCACTCCTTCCTGTTTTTTTTATCTTTTTGATCTCGAAGGTTTTTTCTCATTGTGTTATTTGTTGCGAAGCTGTTTAGGCTGTGTATCTTGCTCTTTTTCTTTTTTTTCTCTACTTTCCCTTTATCTCTCCATGCAGCAGCAGTTCCTTTAGGTCAATAGATCTATTTATATGATCCAAGGATTTCAATTATCTTTATCTGATGGTTCTGATTATAGATCTTTCACAACCTGCTAGTCTTCTAACAGATACCGACTACTGTGATTTTAATTATAAAGGAAATCTATCCTACTAAGAAAGGAGGCAAGGAGATTAACCCAGGTTTACAATGGGAGACGATTAAGGTGAATATAATTTAAAGAGGTTTCCTCACAGTACAGCAGATTTAAGGCGAGAGAAACATTGAACAGAAGGAAAACATTAATATCTAAACTGAATTACTTTGAAAACTCCTTGGGATGTGATAAAAAATAAAGCAACCATGGTTATCTAACCAAACAAATAACTAGAATCGAAAGTGAATTGGAAATAGAAGAAGTGCATAGAACTAAAGGAGCCCAGAAGAGAACTGGGGCCAAATGAACAAACAAAAAGAAGAAAAGCACAAAATGATTTCTTTCTTTCAACGTCACTACCATAACGCGAGTCTGAAGCGCTTGTGGTGACTGTTTGTCAAACAAAATAGAAATTGCTGAAGAAAAACGTATACAACTTAAAGGGTTAGTACCTCAGAAGCCAGGACTCGCGAACGAACAATAATTATACACTTATTGTTAAACAAATTCACAGACTTCGTTCACAACTTAGAGCTGCCTGCATTGACATTCCCTGAGCCAGCAATGTGTGATGCTCTAGTTACGGAGGACGAGGTCACAGCGCCTTTACATGTATATTCCATGAAACTTGGTTTGGCACCTGCAACTTTAAAAAAAAGTGAAAACGCCTGACAACTGAAACCCTCTCTAATGGAGTGTTTCGGGTTTAGCTTTTGAGAAAATATCACCCCCCCCCCCCCTTCCCCCCCACCCCCCCCCCCCCTCAACACCCCCTACCCATCAGAAAGGGTTAGCTGTAATTATCTCCAAAGGAAAGGAAATACTCACAGACATAGTAATCAGAGATCTGTCTCTTGAACCAATAATTTTGACTATAACATTTTGGCCAAAGTGCTGTCAATACGTCTTAACGCAGTTATCAACAAGTTAATTGGAGAACAGCAGGTAGGGTTTTGTTTTAATAGGAGGACTATTGGCGGCATACACAGACAAATTGGTGATTTTTGCACTGTCAAAGAATCAATTGCCCGTCTGAACTCTCATTAGCCTGTTAAACAAGCTATCGGTTCGGTACATATTCCTTGTATTTTAGAACATTAGCACCCACATGTCTGGATGTCCCCGCAATTTCATAAAATGTATTAAGATTTTATATAGGGGATCATGTTAAGAACGGTGGTGTTGTATTGAATACGTCCCAAATAACTAATGTAATAAAGCAATACAATTCACGGATTATTGAAATTCGTGGTCTGTACTTCAGGAGCTACTAGCCAGTAACAGACGTAGATTAAAAAAGGACCGACAAGGCAGACAACATACCCAACAGTGCTTGGGAAATGACATCGGCATAACACAGTTCAGCTTTATAATGCAAAGCAAATCTTTTTCGAAAAGTGTGTTTGAACATATGAATAAATTATCTACTTGTTTTTTGGTGGAAAAAAACGGACTCAACAATAGGATTCAGGAAAGGATACGAAAGGGTTAAACGCAAAGTTATGCGTAAAGATTACGGAAAAGAGGAAAAGGGGAGCAGAAGGGGGGGGGCGGTTAGGG